AAAGTCTGGCCCAGAACTGAAGCTACCAGGAATCTGTTCTCTCAAGGCTTGGGGGCAAAGGGTACAAACTCTACGGGTCTCACTAGGGACATGCAATGTAATTTCTCATTCACCACATCGAAAAATTGTGCAGGCTGCTAAGATGTTTTGGTGTTTTACAGATGACAGGTGAATCACAATCGAGTTTTCCAACTCATTCTGTCTGCTTTTTCTCATTAATCACCTTCCATGAAACCCAAAGCTCTTGGCACAGAAGCCATTCAGGAATCCAGAAGAGGTGGAGGGAAGGTCCTTTTTGTTAAGACATCACTCCTATGACATGGGCAAGGCCAGCATCAGCGCTGGAAGGAATCTAAACTGCTGGCGAAGACAGCCAGCTTGGGTATCGTTACTAGAATGTAAGGAAGGGTGATTTCAATGACTTCCCTTTACCCTCTGTAAATTGTGTGTTGCAGACAGGATTCTGGAATCTCCTGTCCTGGGTATGGATGATACTCGTCCAGATTTGTAGAGCTATCAGCAAAGACGGCAGCAGCTACGCTAACGTGGGTGGACTTCCGCAGGCTCCACGAAGTATCTGCGGTTACGGCATCTCTATTTGGGGGCTTGAAAAGTTCTTGAAACTGACAATTCCTCCTCTAAGTCCTGGAAATTCTTAAGAGCTGTAGGTGAACCTTTAAGTTCCTGTATATGCTCCTTCTACTTCTTTCTCTAGTTTGCTGTCTGGGGGAGGATTAACCCGTGGCATGCTGGAAGAGGAGTCACGCTCTTTCCGAAAGCTTCTGTTACATAACTTTTATTCTGTGTTCCTTTTCACGAGGTGCAGGCTGGCAACGCCTTCCAAAATATCCCACGTGCCAGCTTGTGATCACTTCCCGTAGAACCCAGGGTGACATGGCACCTAAGGAGTTATTTTAGCTTCCCCCAAAGAACTACCAACGCTAACCCTTGTATTGTAGGGTAACACTTGGCTTATTTCTGAGTATCTTTCAACTGTAATACATTCGACATAGAGTTCAAAGAAATCCAACATTTTGGATTCAGGAGTCTCTCAAGAACCACATCACCCCCATATGTTATATACATCAAATCTTTGGCATGCCCTCTCTGTGCCATAGTGTTATTTGAAATTTTGGGAAGAAGGACACGGTTTGATTTCCAGACACACTGCAGCATCAGTGGACATGAAGTGTGGCAGGTAAGGGAAGGATGCTTTCAACCCCAGCAGAATGCACTTGAAATCGTGCTCGTTTCTGCCATTCAATAACCATGTGACTTTGAGCGACACGCTTCAGCTCTCCAAGCTCAGGCTCCTGACGATGACTGCAGCTTCGCTAGGAAACCTGACCTCTGACCACAGACTATTTAAAGTGTGACAAGCAAGCCTGCCCAGAGAACCCGGCAAAAACACCACTGCCAAATCTACGAACTTCTCACCATTTTTCAGCTTCAGCTGAATTCAAGGCTCTAATTAAAGTACTTTCCATTTTCAAAACAACTGCAAACAGTAATTACATACTTCCCCTCCTACCTTCCAGGAACAGCCTAAGACTACGGCGAAACCTCCATGTCCCCTGGACCTCAAGCTATAAAGCTAGATGTGACATTTCTCCTACCCCGTTGACCCAAATTACATAGTGGCTCCTGTGGCTCCTGCCGCATGGACCCCAGAGAGGGTCCTGGCTCAGCCCTCTCCGTTGTGTGCCAAGATGCCACCCGCAAGGTGCCATAACGGGAAAGCTGGCACTATTGCCTTTAAGACGAAAAGTTCTTTCATCACACAGGGTAGAGTCCCCGCTTAGGATAATCAGCACACTTTTTTATAATGACCAGTTCTTTACTGTTTATACAGACATTTAATTGAAAATGTTATGTAACCTTAAAGTACAGGGCACTCTGGAGCTATTAATAACCAGCTACATCCAGATTCCGAGGACTCTTCGGGCTTAGAGTTGGAGGGGGTCTCCTGGCACTAATGTACACACATGCACATTAACACAGGGACACATACAAACATACACACTCATTGCACAGATGTAAATGAAGACCCCAAGAATGGAGATGACTCATCCAAGGTCACAAAGCCAATTCACAGCAGAGTCAAGAATAAATCCCAGGTCTCCTGGCCTCTGGAGGATGTTCCTTTTAGAGAAAAGGAACACACCCCATAGGTACCTGCGTACATCCTTAACACTGCACAAATGCTGCAGTACCCGAAGTGGGTTCTCACAATGCGGGGCTTGTCAGCTCTGATCAAAAGAGTTCCTGGTCTAGACTCCCGAGTTAGAAATGGGATGCCCACCAGGGAAACGTCTCATTGTTGTCATTCATTTGTGATACATACCCCTCCTGCTCTCCCAAGAGAAACACGAGGCACCTAGAATATACCTGAACGTGAGGCCATTATATATGGTGTGGAAGAGGTCAGCTTTAGCAATCTTCCAGAAAAGAAGTGGGTTTAAGACAAAACAGAATCGAAAAGGGAGACTTTTTTTCTCAATTGCACACTTTCACGCCAGGAGGGTAAAAAAGAGCAAAAAATAAGAAGAGAACTGATGCATTAAAAACTGAATATGAGGAACAGGAATCATATTTTTCTGTGGAATCAGGCTCTGGGTAGCAATAGGACGATATGTGACATAAAAACTGTTCTCTCATAATTACATCATCATTTTCAAAAGTAACTTCATGAAGATTGTTTCTCTGCATTCATTTTTATTCAAAACCTCACCCGTTAGTCATGCGGAGCTAAAACACACAATGCTGGTAGATTAATATGTCCACACAAGATGCCTTACTTGCCATTCACAGACCCCATGAGCTTGTCAAAAATGAAAGCTTTGCTTTGGTTCCGTAAATATCAAACAGTCATAAGACCCGCTGGGAGCATAGTTTCTGGGAAAAAAAGGTGGGCCATGCCCGTTTCATTTGAGATTCAGTAACACTTTGAAAGGTTCATTGATCCACATCTTTAAAAGACCTATAACAACCCCATTAAGTGTGCACAGGGCAAGTTGATGAATTTAGCTGTAATTACAGGCAAAGACCAAGTCAGGGTCTAAACCTCCTAGTGGCCCCCCTTTCTTGTGACAGTCCCTCTATTCCTGCTGAGACAGGCTCCACCCTTCCCTAATATAATCAGCAAACAATGGAGAGAGGAGAGTCTAAAAATCACTTTATTTACTTGCTTTAATTGTTTAGGCTGAGAAGGTTTTACCTATGCAGCTATGACAGACTCTTTCTGAAAGAAACAGGCAGGCTCACCAGCTGGTCACTTTTGAGCCAGCTGGACATCTAGCTGATGCGTTGTATTTCATCAGTTCTTAGGGGTCAATGTCATCTCTCCAAATGAAATGCCTAACCTGTCCCATGAACCCAATCTGGCACGTTGGGACATTTTATAGCCACCATGCTTTAGCCCAATAAATAATCCACTAAAGCACTGCCCAGGCTTCACCTCCTTTGGGTGGAACCTGAATTTTGCAGCTCCCTCGGGCACCATATCCTCCTCTTGGAAATCAACAACCTATTCGATCAACAAGCTATCTTTCCAAATGTGTGGGTCTGATCAGCTCTCACCCCCTAGCTCCGGCCTGTAACCCCCTCTGCTGCCACTCGAAGAATCACTTCACTGGAAGGGATCTGAGAGTTCATCCAGTATGACCTGTCATTTCACTGACAGGGAAACCGATGGCCTTTCCCTGTACTGGCACCAACACTGTCCGAGTCCTGCAGACCACCAAGCTCAACACTTGGTGACTCAACCGAGTAAACAAGCCACTCAAACCAGGACCAAGTGATTCCGCGTGGCTTTTCCTTTCAGGGTTGACGTAAATGCACTTAAGCAAACAGTTAAGAGCTACAAAACCAGAGAGTTGGGGGCAAGCTAAGGCCTCCTGTCTACATTAACCTCCCCCCTCCTTTTCTTCTGGATTGAGATGTGGGAAGTTCTGCTGACATGGAAGGTTGGCAAATTTGAGCCAAGATAAAATTTCGGGCAGGGCTGGTTCCTACACAGTGGCCATCTGGGATCAGCCCGTTAAGTAACCATCTCTTAAGACGTACACAACCAGAGGCAGGAGCTTTGATTAGCCCTCACACCGCAGAAAGGTCTACGACATGGTTCTGAGGCCGAGCATGTGCTGGGCACACACAGCATAGAGGAGGCACACAGGAGGATCTGAACTCTGCCCTTTCCAACCTTGAAGAGGCCTGGGAGAAACAGACTCCCAGGAAAGAGAGCACCCAGGGGAACATATCCTCCTCCTACCTGAATAGAAGTGGCCACACACTTACAGTTCACATAAAGGTGAGCAGCTATGTGATGGAGGGATGGACAAAAAAAAAAATACATGCTACCAGCAATCTATTTCATCCAAGCAGATACTCACCAGCACAAGTATTTTCACACACACGCAGTAACTCCAGACGGAAGCAGTTAGTAGAAGAAATGGGACAGGTGTGTTTGTTACAAAAGGATCAGCTCCAGGGAGAGGTGGAAACAGCACCCTGGTTTCCAATCCTGGTCTCCCTGGCTTGCGCTTCCTGGCCCTGTGACCTTGATTAAGTCATTCAGCCTCCCTGGGCCTCAGTTTCCTCATCTGAGCCAGAGAAGAAGGGGAACGCACTTCCTCTGGTGGTCTGGAGACATACTACCCAGCACAGCCTGGACACCAGTTTCGAGGTCACTATATATGAGTCGTCTCCCTCCACAACTGAAGCGTCTGAACCCAGGTTGCATATAGCATTATCGAGACCAAACAGGTCTCCTCCTGCCTGCGTGTCAAGCCCGCATCTGCCTCCCTGATGGCCCGGGAAAGCACCAGGTCTCGAAGGCGCCCGGGCAATTCGGCCTCTAGGCAGGGTCTGGGGAACAGGGGAATCCAGGGGTTCAGTAAGAAATCCCGCAAGCTCTAGGTGGGGGCCGAGCAGGGGGCTCGGAGGCAGCCTCTGGGGCCGTGCGAAGGGGCTTTGTTTCCGCGGCGGAGGGCCTGGCTTACCGAGCAGCGCATCCGGAGGCGGGCGGGGGGCGCGCGGGGCACGCAGCAGAGCCACAGCCTGGCCCGGGCCCGGGGTGCCTGAGCCGGAGGAAGGCGAAGAGGAGGAGAAAGAGAAGGCAGCCGCCGGCTCCTGCCTCATTCTCCCGGGCAGCGCCGATCCGCTGGCCGCTGCCAGCTGGGGCTGGCCGCCGGGCGCCGGACCCCGCGCGCGCGTCTCATGTCCCGGTCCGCCGCTGTCGAGGTGTGCGCGCAGCCGGGTAGTCTCCGGGCGGCGCCCCGGGGCTCCTCATGCCCCGCGCCGGGGCTCGGCAGGAGGACCTCGGGGAGGCAGCGCGGAAGAGAAGAGAGTAAGAGAGAGCGTGAGAGCGCGCAGAGCTGCGCCCCGCGGGTCCAGGGGTGGCAGGCACCCAGCAGGACCGCGCCGCCCCACCCACCGCGCCGCTGAGCCCCGCGCCGCGCGCCCGCCCGGTGGGGCGCGGAGCCCCGGAAACTTTAGCACATGGCTGGTCCGGCGGCCGTGGTGGCGGGAGCTGTCCCGGTCTTCCCGCTCCCCCTCCTCCCCGCCCCAGCCCCGGCCCCCGAGAGCAGCTTACCGGCGGCGAGGGCGACCGCGACAGTGGGGCGCCCACTCTGCCGCGCGCAGAGCTGTGCGCACCGGCCGGGAAGGAGGAAGGGGCTGGCTGCGTCGGGGTCCCTGCAAGGGAGGGGCACCTCGGCGGCGGCGAACCGCGCGGGTTAAGGCGTCCTGGGAGGAGGGGGCGGGCCAGCCTGGTCAGCAGGCCCGGACAGGGAAGGGTCCCTGCGCCCCCGGACCCCGCTCCGCAGCGTAGCTGCTGACGACGCGCCCGGGCTTCCCCAGCCCCGGGTCTGCGGAGCCCGCCCTGTTACCTAGCGACTCGCTCTGGGGAGCCCACGCTGACTCGCACGACTAGCGGGGCTGCGGCAGCCGAGGGGAGGGGAGCGGAGGGGAGGGGAGGGGAGGGGAGGGGGGGGAGCTCCGGAGGTGGGGGAGGGCGGGTGGCTGCAGCCGGAGCTCCTCCTTCTGCTTCCCCCCTCTGCGTTGGGGAGGGGCCCGGGAAGACGTCCTACACACGCCGGAGTATGGGGGTGGGGGGAAGGCCCACACCGAGGTGGAGGTCGGGTGGGGGAGGCGCGGAGATGCGCCTTCCCCTTCGCTAAGGATGTAGCAGCAGGTGGCGGCGACGTGGCCCGTGGAGGCCTGGCGCTTACAGGCGCGCGTATATGGGCCCGGCCGGGGCAGGAGCGTGAGGAATGTGGCAGTGGGCGCGTGGGTGTGTGTGACACACTCCCACCCACGTGACGTACTTGGGGACACGAGGACTCGGGTGGCGGAGGAGCCTCCTTCCTCTGGTCTCTGTCACTCCTTCCTGGACATTTTGCTCCTGTGCTGTCTCTTCGTCATGGAAGCCCAGGATGTCGGGGGCAGTTTCATTGTGATCAAACCAACCCCAGTGTTGGCACCTCCCCACCCTACCGCACCCTACCCCACCTCTGCCCCCGCAAGGGGCAGACACTTTAATCTGGCTCGGGATGTCTTCCTATTTTGGGATTTGGGGCCCCTCCAATTTCCCGCAATATGTGTATGGAATGTGCCCTAAGTTACTTCACAACTTCCGTAAAATAGAGCGTTCATCCCCAAAGCCTGTAGCTAAATGCTAGCACCTAAGGTGCCCCACAAATGTGAACATGTATTAGCTGTAAAGCTACAGCCTGTCTCCTGATCTACGACCTCCCCAAAATATACCCCAAAGCCCAGGAAAGTGGGGCAAGGGTCTGTGAAAGTCCTCATCGCAGGTAGGGACCACTTTTCTGGATGAGGGAGATGACTTGCCGCTGGGAGCCTCAAAGCAAGCAGAGCCCAGGCCTCCTGATTTCCAAGCTCCCACACACCACCACCGCCCCTCTTCAGCAGCTGGGTGCAGAGAGCCTCACTTCCCCACTCCTGGGAAGACCACTCATTCCTGCCACCTCACCCCCTGGACCAAGCCCACACCCCTTCCTCACCCTACTGTCCTCTCTTCCTCTCTGGTGTGGATATGGGGAGAAAGAGGCAGAAGATGACCCCACAGAGGAGAAGGGGGACCTCTTTGCCCAGGAAAGTTCCCACATCCTAGCAGTGGGTCTCACCAGGGCAGATCCCATCCCTGAGGGGCTTTGGGAAATACCAGGACCCCAGTGGGTTTTGTTAGCCCATTGACAGGATTCTTCCTCCGATGGTGATGATGGTGATGGTTATTACCATAGTTATTATTCAGATGTCAGTAACTCTTGCTGAAAAACCCTGCAAACCCATCCAAACAGAAACCTGTATCTTAAGAAACAGAGGCCCAAAGGCAGCAGCACTTTTCTGAGAAAACCACTTTGCATCCCAGCCCATGTGCCAGTTGAGATCCAACATTTTCTAGTGAAATTGGGAGGAATACTTTTGCCCAACCAGTTTTTATGGGTGGTGGCAGCCAGGCAGCTGGTCCACAGAAACTCCAGAAAGACTGCTTCCTGGTGCCATACTGGCAGCCGGCTCTTTCTTCAGCCCAGATTTCCCAATATGCAGATATAATTGGACAGGGAACCCAGTGCTCACAATAAACAAAATCCCAGAGCTTGTATTCCATGCACAGCCAGTATCTGGGCCCCACTATTTCAGGAAACAAGGCAGCCTGTGAGGAAATGTGATTTGACAGTACAAACAACTCATTCACTGTGCACAAAGATTTGAAAAATATTGGCTTGCGTCAAAGCCAAAGCCAGCATGTTCACCCTTTACAGTGTGTGTATGGGGGCGGGGCAAGAGGGCAACAGGTGGAACTCCCTCTGCATCATATGTTATTCCTCATGCTTTTCTTAATACAGGTGGGGAGTGTATGAGCGCATTGAGATTAAGGAAACCCGTGAACCCCCAGGGCCACATCTTTCCAGGATGTCCATCTGCATGGCAGTGGAGGAACATCTCCCCAAATTTGTAAGGAGCGTTCACTGGAATTTGGGCACAATACTAGTCACTAGGGGTGCAAAGATGAATTAGATAAACCCTCTGTCCTCTGAATCCTCCTCGAGACATTTATAGAGGGCTTAACTCATGCCCAGGTATTCTAGGTACTGAGGGCTTTATCTACAAGTGCTAATTTTAACTTCATTAACCCCTCTCTGCGGGATGCTCAAAAAGGTTATATATAGGTTCCCTAAAGTCACGTAGCTGGCAAATGAATGGACTTGGGAGTTGCAGCCTGGTCTCCCTAACCCCAAAGGCCATGTTCCTAACCATTTTTCTATTTTGTCTGCCAGGCTAAAGAAAAATGGAGACAACAATATTATAGAAAATGTCTGCCTGACATTTAGGATTACAAATGAGATGTGTGTATAAAGTCACCAGGATTTGTTCCTGGAAGAGTTAACTCTCAATAAAAGCTACCTATTGTTATCATCATTAGACCCTCAATTTTATTTTGAATTCATAAGCTCTGCCTTATCGGGATTACCAAGTACTATTCTTGGAGGCATATACAGAAGTGATAGAAGTGCAGACATCTGTCTGCAGGACTGCAGCTGGCTGCACAGAGGAGGTGGCATTTGAGTTGGGTCTCCAGGCATGAGTAGGTGTTGGGTATGTGGAGAGGACATGAACAGGAATGGACTGATCAAGAGGAATGTATAGGGGAAATTCACAGAGCTATGAATAAGCAGCTCGTGTGGGCAGGAGTTAAGACCCAAAACAGGAAAGCAAGAGGATGGACAGGATGTGGAGACCACGGTTTCTGAGTGCTGGCCCCCTCCCTGAAGGCACAAGCAAGGACATCTTTTGAGCCGGGGCTATGGGGTGGTGAGTGGGGAGGGACAATGCGGCAGAGGGCCAGAGAGAGGACCCAGCCTCCAGGCAGCCACCAGGTAAAGGTTTACTGGCCGTGCTTGACGGGGGGACCTCCCATCACTCACAGGGGCAATGGGGCCATGATGCCTGCCAACCTCAGTGCTTTGCAGGGCCACTGCGAGGGTCAGAGCCCACTGCGTGGGTCACTAAGTGTGAGAGCGGGCTTGGCAATGTGTCGTGGGTACATTGTATGCACAGGAGGCCTGACTCGTTCACCCATTCTCAGGATTTTTTTTTACAACTCATTCATTCATTTGTGTGTTCATTCATTGAATATTATAATATTACATTTAATATTATGTTTATTGAGCATCTACTCTGTGCCCAGCACTCTGTTGGCTCTAGGCATTCAGCAGTGAACACACCGTGGTCCCTGCCCTCATTTTACTCACAGTCTAGTGGGGAGAGAGACCAGTCAGCAGGGTGGGGTGGCAAGATCGGGGCTCAGTGCTGTGGTGCCTGCAGGCCATGTGGTCGCACAGAAGAGGGGCTTTTCCCTGGATTCAGGGGATTGAGGAAGGTTTCCTTGGTGGGATGATCCCTCAGCCTCAAAGCTGATACCTGGCAGACCTCATGGCTGGAACCTGGGGCTTCTGCCTGGTTGGTCTGGTCCTGGTGATTGCAGCCTGTGGGATAAGCAGCGTTGGTGCTAACAGGGAGGCTGAGATAAAGGATAGGGCCTGTGGAGTGGGGAGAGGGTGTCTTAAAGGCCAGGTAAAATGAAACACTGTTTTTGCCTAGAAAAAGAGGCTTTAGGTCTGAATCTTTCCTTTCCAACACCCATATTAACAGGGTTATCAAAATAAAATAACTCAGCCAACCACACTTAAGAAGAGGTGAGAGGGGCTTCCCTGGTGGCGCAGTGGTTGAGAGTCTGCCTGCCGATGCAGGGGATGCGGGTTTGTGCCCCGGTCCGGGAGGATCCCACGTGCCGCGGACCGGCTGGGCCCGTGAGCCATGGCCGCTGAGCCTGCACGTCTGGAGCCTGTGTTCCACAACGGGAGAAGCCACAACAGTGAGAGGCCCGCGTACTGCAAAAAAAAAAAAAAGAAAAAAAAGAAGAGGTGAGAGACTTGGAATTAGGACAACTGAGGAGAGATGGGATCATGGGAGAAAAGGAAACAGATAACTTGGCAAGAGGGTATCATCACCTTAAAGAGATGAAGGACTTTCTTATAGGAGAGGGTTGCATTAGCTCCTACGTGTGGCCCCAAAACATTGAACTAGGCCACCGGGGAGACGGTGTTTTCAGGACAAGGAAGCATAACACTTAGATCAATACCTGGCCCTCTGACTACTTTTGTAAACAAAGTTTATTGGAACATAGCCTGCCCGTTCATTCATGTATCATCTATGGTGCTTTCACGCTACAAGAGCAGACTTAAGTATTTGCTACAGAGACTGTATGGCCCACTAAGCCTAAATAATTTAGTATCTGGCTCTTTGCAGAACAGTTTGCCAACCCCCTGCATCAGAGCAACCCAGATATCAAGTGAGGTGCTTTGGGAGGGAGTGAGCTCCCCATCACTGGGGGTATTCAGCAAAAGCTGAAGTCCTATTAAGCGGTGATGTGGCTAAGAGTTTGAGTGAACTTTGAGATCATAAGGATCCAGCAGTTAATGACAATTATTCAGATTTCTGCAGTGCCTGCTGGTCACATAGTCACAACTATTGAAAAATAAATCCATCTTCAGAGCAGCCTCGGTCAGATCTACAGTGTTTCATCACAGGACCTGAAGTCCATCAAAAAGAGCAATGGCTTCCTCTGCCTGTGTAATATAAGGTGGATGATGGACAGATTCAGGCAATCTCAAGGGTGAACATCTGGAGGAAATCTTTTTACACCCAAGCCTCTCTTACAAGGAAGACGCACTCACGTGTAAACTCATGGATGAATGACGGCGTGGATCGTTTCTGGGCCACCAATGTACCCACGAGGCTAAGATGTTCCTCTGTGTTTCAAAAGGATTCGCTATGGAATAAGCTAATTTACCTTTGTTAGGCTTCTGTTGGGGTCAGTGGGGACGTCATTCGGCAAACTTGGTGCCAGACCTTGAACTGGGCAGAGCACC